GAACTTTTGTACTTTGACCACATGTTCACACCTACCACACACCAGAGACACACCCACACAATGTCCTTGTCAGACATGCAGATCTCATTGTCTTAAGCCCCTTTTCCACTGCACAGTACCAGCTTGACTCGACTCGCCTTTTTTGATTTTCCACTGTAGAAATGTTGCACCTGTTCCTGCTTCCAGTTACTTTTTTTCATATCACCTCCGTCGAGGTTCCAAGCGAGCTGAGGGAAACTAAAATGTAACGTGAAAACAGGACAGACTGCTGATTGGTCAGAGAGAATATTCACTATTCACTGCATCATCATCGCTGCACCAGACAGAGGCAACAGGAAGTTTTATATTTTACAGTTTTCGTATGTAATTTCATCACTAAATCCACTTCTGAGAAGTTTTGAGCTGAAATCAGCTGTGGAGATTTCAAATATTGACAGTTTTAGAGAAGTGATGGCGGAACAAAAATGTGCTTAAATATTTTCGGAGTTGTGGCTGCGGGGGAAGCCTGCTGTGACCCGCGGGAGGAGCGTGTGAGGCCGGCCAGCCGCCCGCTCACAGAGCCCTCTGCTCCCGCCGTCACACAGACCGCTGCAGCAACAACGGCAGAGGAAAACACAGCTGGAAGTTTTCATACCGCTTATCTGTCTTTACATTCTGAGGAAGGTTGAAACGTTTTAACTTAAAAAAGAGAAAGCTGTGTGGTCGCTGGTGTGTGTGTCGCATTGAACATTATATATATAACATTATATCATAGCAGTTGTGTGTGGCGTTGCTATGACAACCAGCTACATTGAGGGGTACTATCTCTGGGTACTATTGAGCTGGTACTGGTAATGGAAAAACGGCATTAGTTTTGTCTTGTGTGTTTTTGCTTTTTAAAATGTGTTTTTAAATAAATGCTTGTGTATGAACATGCTGGTTGGAAAAAGAGCTACACTCGACCTTATGATGAGCAGAGCCCACAACCGTCAGTGGAGGGGAGGCTGCTGCTCTGATGTGATGCAAACCAGCCACGTCATTTTCTGTGGTGTCGACTGAAGCCGATGCTGCACAAAAAGGAAATGAAGCTGAAGGCGTCACTCTGCTGTTCAGACTGACTGACAGTCGACATCCAGACAACATGAAGGCTTCATCTGTGTCTCTGCTGCTCGGTGAGTCCAACACAGAGCTTCCATCATCATCCATCCATCCATCCATCCATCCTATGGAAGATTTTATTGGACTTTTATTAAATAAATAAAAAAATATTAAACAGAAAACAATCCACAAATGAGTACCATGATGCGCAAATATTTCACTATCTATAAATGTGTATTTTTACATTTGTGATGTGTAAAATCATATCCACAAAAATACAGAGTGACTTCAACACACAAAACAGTTGTTGCACATTTGAAGATTGCTTTCTGTCAATTTGTGGATCATGTTATATTTGTAACTTCCTTTTTACACATTTGTGGAATTTTGTCAAATGTGTACTGCAGAGATCTGTAAAAAAAAATATACACAAATATGTCACTACCCAAAACACGTATTTTTACATTTGTGTTGTGTAAAACCATATCCATAAAAATACAGTGCAAATTGCAAACATGTAAAATTTACTTTGTACACATATTTTAATTTCACATACAAAATGTTATTTACGCATTTGTGGATATACTTTAAGTATGTTTTTGCACATTTGCAGATCATTTCCTGTCAATTTGCAGGTCACATTACATTTGTGACTTCCTTTTTACGCATTTGTGGAATTTTGTCCACTCTGAGTACCAGAGATCTGTAAACAGAGATCTGTAAATGTCAGAGCAGTTTATTAGCTACACCAGCAGGTGGCGGTAGCGACATTGCCTCTCATGAGTTGTAAGAATATCCATTGCAGTAGCCATGGTCATCTATTAATATAACATGACCCACAAATTGACAGAAAGCAATCTGCAAATGTGCTAAAACTGTTGTGTGTGTAGAAGTCTCTCTGTATTTTAGTGGATATGATTTTACACATCACAAATGTAAAAATACATATTTGCAGATAGTCAAATATTTGCGCATCACAGTACACATTTGTGGATTGTTTTCTGTGGGTTACAAATATTAAAGTCCAATAAAATCTTCCATACAATCACAGCTCCAACACACTTCAGAGTCTGCACTCATACAGAGGAACCAGAACTGAGACCTGATCCAGACTGAGACCTGGACTCTCCTCACTGTCAGACTGCTGTCACATGACTTTGACACATCTGAGGTTTAACTGTGAACTACAAAATGATTCAAGATGAAACTATTGGAATGTTTTCCTCTTTAATAGAAGTGATAGAAAAAGCTTTTGCTGAACGCTGCAGTCACATGGTTCATTTCTTCCACCATGAAGCCACGAGGACATCTCAAGTGATAAAGAAGCTTTCTGTGTTTTGATCAGTTTGTTTGACAGGGAACAGGCTCACTGATCAGCAGCTGATAACAACTGCCAATGACTTTCACTGCATTTCTGTCCTCCCTGCTAAAAAGATATTATTTCATAATTCATATATACAACATAATAAATATGCACATGATGTTACTGTGCAGCAATAAATAATGCTACGTGCCAACACATGCTAGTTAGCTACAATCCAAAGTAAATAAATAAAACAACATGCAAAGAAAGGAAAAGCCGAGGATGAAGACAGATAATTAATGAGGTCTATTAAAAGTCTCTGCAGCTGTTAGAGCCGTCTGCACAGACAGACTTTGCTTCATGTGACACTTGGCTCATTTTTCTATATTATATTTCTGTATATCTCATATTTCCCAGTTTCCTCTAGTGATTTTTGTCTTTCCCTGCGTCACTCTGCGCTGTAGAACCAAAGATCAGGTCGCACTCGAAGCCTTTTTTATCAGGAATGGTTCCAACATTGGATCTGATCTTGAAGGACAGTTTACCATCAGGAACATCAGTCAGTCTGATGAAGGTCTCTGTTTCACCCCTCTACTTTGGAGGACAAAAACTGGCACATTTATTACTTGTATACATTGTTTTAATTACGTCACAGGTTTCCCCCCTACACACTTTTCAATTAATTTCAGGAACAGATCATGATGCCAAACTGAGTCAAATGCTTTTTAGAAATCTACAAAACAAGAGTAAATGTTCTTGTTTTGGTGGACATGTTTATTAATGACAGTGTGGAGGGTGTTGATGTGGTCTGTAGTTCGATGTTATGCTGTAAATCCAGTCAGGACATTATGTTCACTGGGGAAGTCTTGCAGTTGTTTAGGATACTGCAGAATAACTTCCCCAGGTTGCTGCTGACACATATGCCTTATTTCCACTTTTAAAGATTGTGTAGTAAACACTTTGCTCAAGATGTCAGGGAAATGTCCAATGCTCAGAACGAGGTTAAATAATTTTAATATGGCAATGCCGAACTAATGGTTGTTAAATTTCTGCATTTCAATTAAAATACCACCAGGACCGCTGGCCTTCCTCGGTCGTAGGGCCTGGATTTTAGTCAGTATTTCCTCTTCAGTGATTTGATAGTCAAAATGTTCTGATTGTCTTTAACAACTAGAATTTGTAGTTTGTTGAGGAGATCATTTTGGGCCAAATTCCCTGAAAATGGGGAGGAATGATCATGAGAGTGAAAAGAGATGTTCCATCAGCGAGAACTTTTACTCTAATGAACTTAGTTTACAAAATAAAACAGTTTATACCAAGGATGTACTGGGACGGAAATTCAGGCCAGGACTTTGAGACAGAGAGGCGCCGTTGTATACAGTCAATTTCAGTATGGTGAAGACCTCAAGAAACTTTATGACACCTGCCTCTTAAGTTTGTATAAGCACTGAATAAGACCAGGTCAGGCAAGCTTGAGTCAGTCAGAAGGCTAAAATAGTTAAATATCATCCAAAACTACGATGCAGTCTCATAAAATACAGCAGTATGTGCATAAAACTCAAACCCTCATCTTCAGCGGTGAGTAGGCCTCTCCTGCTCAGCTCCCCTGTGCTGGACCCTGATTGTGCAGCTACATGTGAACAAGAAGAACATCAGTAATAAATATGACTAACAATAATCCATTTTCTAATTCTTTCAATGGATAATTGCCCACCCAGCCCTGCACAGGCTCCTGCAAAAATGCGCACTGTATGAAAAGTGGAATTTTCGTCTCTGTTAACTTGATCGCACTAATCTCTGGCAGTTATTGGTTGTTTTCGGCACTTCGCGTTCGTCTGTGCTGAAAATTGTCAGAAACATACCCGGCTGCCGAAACAAGCAGCTGAGGAAAACAATTAGTGTGTTATAAATAAATCGCCAGAGGGGGGCGGGGCTGTGGTTCTTCTCACCGCTGCAGCATAGTTCAGTCCAATAGGCTGGTGCTGCCGTTGGGATGAGGGGGGGTACAGGACCTCCATGCAGTATTGTCCTGGCTGTGTTGTCCTTCAGCAGGTGTAGTGGGAGTTTGGCTGGATGTGGTCTGGATCTGGCACAGGGGTTTGTGTGGAGTTTAGTCTGGCTTGTAGACTGAGCCCTGTTCTGTCCCTTTCCTGTAGCTCTTCTCTCAGTGTAGCCACTCTGTCCTTCCTAAGTTCCTTCACCTCCTCACTGAGATGATCCAGCTGTCTTCTGACAAGCTAGTTCTTGCTGAAACTCTCTCAGCTGTGAGATGACGTTCAGGCAGGCATATGCTTCATCAGTCTAGAAAATTAAACTGCAGGAACTTCCATCTTTGTAATGGTCCAGAAATAGGATTTCTGGTCTTTCTCAAAGTATTGTTTGTTTATATTTTCCTTTTGCAGTTTAACGTTTGATAGCTGGGGGATACTCATTGGTTTCAGAGTGTGTAGACATCATGATACAGCTGTTGATCTTCAATGATCTGTGTTCTGTGGTTTAAAACAGGGTTTCTGTCCAAACAGTCCTCAGTTCTTTATAGAAGAGTCGTCTCTCTGAGTTGTGTTGAAGATGGACAGATGGTTCTGGTCTGATGGACTAACTCTGTTTTCTTCTTCTTCAGATTCTCATGTTATTCTGGAGATTCCTGCACTTCCTGTGATGGCAGGAAGTGATGTCACTCTGCGCTGTAGAACCAAAGATCAGGTCGCACTCGAAGCCTTTTTCATCAGGGATGGTTCTAAACTTGGATCTGGACCTGAAGGACAGTTTACCATCAGGAACATCAGTCAGTCTGATGAAGGTCTCTACTGGTGTTATTTTGATCACACTGCTGAATCTCCTCGGATATGGCTGAGTGTCAGAGGTCAGGACACTGACATCACTTCCTGTTTATATGACCTGTCTGTCTGTCTGTCTTTATTTATTTATTTCTGGACTGGCATTAGAATTCAGGCCAGGAATTTGACTTGACCCCAGGCCACCTTGTTTTACACAAACCACCAAATTGCTACTTTTTGTGGACTAACCTTTTTATATACAGTCTATGGCAGGGGTTTTCAAGTTTTGAGACTGCGGGCCTCTCCTCGTACAAAGCTTGGGAAATGTCAAAATAAAATTAACATTTAACTCAGATAAACACATTTCTGCCATTCTAAGTTACAAGGTTTCCAATTTTAAAGTAAATGTTATCTAAATAAATACCCATATTTTAAATAAAAATGATCAAAGTTAGTATATTTTTAGCCAAATTCACATTTTAGTCAAATGCAATACAAAATATTTTTTAGTAGTAAAAAATTCTATTTACTTTCTAATTATTAGTTTTAAGCCATATATTTCTAGTAAAGAATTATTATAAGGAACAACAAAATAACAAAATCAGTTGGTATTTTAATTTTCAAAATGTATATTTCTTATCTTTCCTTTTCCCCACTTGTTTGATAAAACCAAACAACATTTGAAGTTACAAATGCCACTGCAAAAAGTCCTATCAAAGTCAGCAAGAGTTAAGAGTCTGTATTTTTCCAGAGCATCATTAGCACTGCACTGCTTAAGTCAATCTAGTCAAAACATGGCCAATATGGCGCTTACCGGCTTACCCTCACAGTTTTGTGGAGGGCTTGGTCTTGCACAATCACTTTAATGACAGATCAAGATCCTTGGTTTGTGGTGCTATAAATGCTCCTTCCACTGCGGTCTAAAGACAACGACAGAGCCAGGTACTGGCACGCTCAGATTGCCTGGAAGATTTGTTCCACCTGGTTCACCACTGATTGAAGGGGAGGAGGAGCTCCCAGGCAGTTTGTCAGCACAAACAGTCAAGCAAGTGCAAGGATGCTGACACTTGGGACATATGGTCACACTTTCTGCAAAGAGTTAAAAGTCGAGCTGCAGTGTTTTGGACTAATTATAGGCAATTAATTCATTTCTAACTGAAATAGGTATATAGGGAGCACAAGTGAACAACTTTCTTTACGTTGGGTTCAAACACAAGTCCTGGTCAAAGACTACCACTAAATTTCTTACCAAAAGTTGTTTGTTCCAAGGTTTTCCATGATTTGATTTCTGTGAGTTAGAGATAAGAGTGCATTGACATCAGATTTTGTAAGATTAAGTTGGAGGAAGTTGTGACATACAGTAATTTATTTCAGCAAGCTTGTGAAGAGTTTGTGTTAGCCTGATCAACGGGTCTAATTGGGATATAAGCTGTGTGTCATCGGCGTAATATTGGAAGTACAAGTTGTATTTGCGGATATTATTAGGAGGTAGCAAAATGTTTCAGTTGGTTCTACCTATCATTGATTATGACACTATCAGAACACCTATGACACTTATCTTAGGCACCTTAATTTTGTGTTTAATTCTCTATGTAGATTTGTTTTGAGGTGTCCATATAGAACACCACCAGATTTGAGATAAGTCTATAATCATTTGTGTCAAATGGACCCCAGTTTTCAGTAATGGCGTGACATAAGCCTGTTTCCATGAAATAGCCACTGTATCAGTGTAAATGGAAAGATTAAAGATGTAAGTGAGTGGCTTCACTATAGTTTCTGCTGCCATTAAATTTCATCCAGTGACTATTGTTGCCAGACTCTTTATAGTTTAGTCACGTGACATGTGCGGTGACCTGGAGGGCAAAACAACAGACCAACATAGTGGCTCACACTGACTCACCCATAGAGACGCCACAGAAGCAGTCAAATTTGTTTGACTGCATCCGAAAGCACAACAACCATCCAGCAAACTCAAAGTAACAGTGTATCACTTGCTTCTTGGTTGGCAGGCAGCGGAAAATAACATCTTTAATGGCATCCAAGGGAGCGTTTTACTTGGAATGTGATGTCACAGGAAAATTTAATTATCATTCCTGCTGTTGTGAAAATCCTGGCCAGCTTGTTTTTGTTTTAGTGTTTTGTCAGACAGAGATATTAAACCCGAGTACACTCTCTTTCAGGCTGAAACATTTTCTCCAGGATGTTGTGACTGACCCAAACTCTCAGTTTTCTAATTAAAAACCGTTTCTAAATGGCTTTTATACATGTGGAATCACTATTTTCAGTGAACCCCATTTGTCATCCAGATAAATACTTAAACAGTTTACAATTTACACTAGGACACCTTTATTTTTAAATAAAATATGCTTTACTGTGATAACGTTCTTCAATCATCATCATCATTATTAGAACTCTTGAATACGCTGCTTGTAAAAAAAGTTTGAGTCAATTGAAGACTCGGTAAACATGCACATATGCGCACATGATCAGGGTGGGACCACCTGGAAAAACCCTGACGAAGAGTCGTCTCTCTGATTTGTGTTGAAGATGGACAGATGGTTCTGGTCTGATGGACTAACTCTGTTTTCTTCTTCTTCAGATTCTCAGGTTATTCTGGAGATTCCTGCACTTCCTGTGGTGGCAGGAAGTGATGTCACTCTGCGCTGTCGAAGCAAAGATCTGGTCACCCTCGAAGCCTTTTTCATCAGGGATGGTTCTAACATTGGATCTGGACCTGAAGGACAGTTTACCATCAGGAACATCAGTCAGTCTGATGAAGGTCTCTACTGGTGTTATTTTGATCAGACTGCTGAATCTCCTCGGAGATGGCTGAGTGTCACAGGTCAGGACACTGACATCACTTCCTGTTTATATGACATGAACTAACCTGCTGACCTGATAATAAACTGATCACTGCATTGATCCAGGTTCTACTGATTTCTCCTCCAAGTCGTACTGCCCTTATTCTTTTCTAACCCTATTCTCATTCTTCCTCTTATCCAGCCTCCCCCCCTCTCTCCTCTCCCCTCTTAACAGTTGGACTACCTGTGGGTTCTCTGGTTCTTCTGGTTCTGGTCCTGGTTGGAGTTCTGTTGTTCCGCAGGAATCAAACAGGTATGAAAGCTGTCAGACTCACCTGATCTGAACAGACTGGAACCAGACTGTGTCTGATCCAGTCAGCAGCTCTGTACTGAACTACAACTGGGACTGGTTGGACTCCTGACTCCCAGAGCTTTCAGCCACATCTCATGGTCTTCATCAGCTCATGGTGTTTGCTTGGTAGTTCTGGAGATGCTTCAGGTGTGGTCATGTGAGGTACAGACCCTCAGTCCCATGGTAACAGCTGCTTGTATATGGGGGGAGATGTGATGTACCTGTAGGTCACATGATGACACCTGAGCCAACTCCATTTACTGATGAACACCATGAGATGCTGCTGAAAGCTCAGTTAGATATTTTCCACTAACTGTTTATATATTTGAATACAAAGTTAACCTGCTGACCTCTGACCTTTAGTAAACCTTGTTCTCCTGTTGTAGGTCTGGCTGTGCTGACTGCTGCAGGTGAGCTGATGGAAGTCTGTCGGTCTGTCTGTTGACCTCTGACCTTTAGTGACCTCTGACCTTTAGTGACCTCTGTCCACCTGTTGCAGGTGCGGCTGTGTTGCTGAGTGGACTGCTTGTTTCTGCTGGTGAGCTGATGGAAGTGAATTAGTTAGAAGAAATAGGAGGATTTCATAAACAGCTTTTGATGACTATAGAAATACAAAAATTGTACCATAAGGATATCAAAAGATGAACTGAGACAAAACAAAAACCAATAACTCAAATTCGCATTTGGCAGCTGTTATATGTCAAATCCTATAGTGCCACCTAAATCCACAGACTTGCTCAGCAAATAAAGTTCAACTTTACTGCATTTGGTAACATGCTCTGAGTAGGATTTGAACCACTGGACTATTCAGATACACTTTTAGAGAAATGTTTAACTTTCTTGCTTAATCAGATCTGGTGTAGTGACATGAACTGCCACCGGTGCACCAATAGAGGGCACTCGATGACCAGAACAAGCTGGCACAACACTGTTATGGTTGTAAATGCAATTGCTGTTCTATCTAGTCCACTGTGGGGGAATAAAATAAAAAAAACAGCAAACAACTACTCTTAAGAAACACTGATGTCCATAGAAACTATGATTACATTGAGGCAGACAATATTAAAATTAACATTAATTACTAAAGCTAGTAGGATACAGAAGCGGATTAAGTTCACATGTGAAATATGTATTTAAATTAGAATTCTGATTTTAATCTCAGAATTCTGATGCATAGTAAGAACTGAACATTGAACATCATGACGTCCAACACAAACACCATACAGGTGTGTGAAAGTTTAAAGCTGTGACCATTTAACCCTCTCGCCCAAGCTGGGGATCAAACTAACAACCACTTGCTTGTTGATGAAAAAGTGCTTACAGCTTGAGTAGCTGAGCATGAGAATATATGGCACTCCAAACTTGAAAGTTTTTTACAAGTTTAAGAATCAGGAAGGTGAGGAGAAGTCTGCAGTTTGTATTGGAGTGAATGAGACCTTGACTGTGGGCTACATATTAATTAAGGTTAAAATCTAAAATACAGTTGAAGGGAAAAGTATATGAACACTTTGGAATTAGCTGGATTTCTGCATAAATTGGTCATAAAATGTGTTTTGATCTTCATCTTAGTACAACAATAGACAAACAGTCTGCTTGAACTAATACCACACAAAGAATTATAGTTTATTGATGTTTTTAGACCGACCCAGCTTTAATCCGTAATATCGTTGTCCTTTGTTTCAGTCGTCAGGTGATGTGATGGTGATGTGATGGCTTTAGCTTTCTTTCTTTGCTTCACGTCAGTTTGACAGCCTGAATCCTTAAAACCAATAATGCAAACAATAATGCAGGCTGGCACATGGCATGACTCCAGTGAAGTGTTAAAAATGTCTGAACACCGGAGACAGCTGATCAGCACAGTGCTTCAGGGTGGATGGGGAGACAGAGTCCGGCCCAGCTGCTTTGCGAGGTTTCTGCCTCCTGAACAGTCTGTTGACGTCCCTCTCTAGGATGGTAAGAGAGGGGGAGGAGGAGGAGGAGGAGGTGGGGGATGAGAGGGTGGACTGTGGCCGATCAGTGTTGTGACGGGGGATGGTGTCAGGTCTGTCCCATTGTCTTCAACTCGTTGGCAAGGCGTCAGTCTTTCATGGAGTGGGGGGATTTAGGTTTTTAGCTGGTGATCTGTCTGAATCTTCTCCAGACAGAAGCAGAGTCATTCCTTGAAAACTGGTGTTGTAGTCTTTCTGCATACAGCTGTTTAGCATCTCTGTACTTTGACTCCTTAAACTTGACCCGGTCTCCACTCCTGAACGCCTCTTCCTTCTCCAACCTGCGATTTTTACAGATCTGTAAATATCTGAAAAAGTTATTTTTAGGAAGAGCCAACTTCTCAGAAAGTTGCTGGAAAGATGAAAATATGTCATCACTATACAAGTCTTTGATTGTTTTGATACCCCACACCTACCAGGAAGAAGGCTCCATCCATTAGTGAAGGGTGAAATAACAGGTTCGGTGCTAGCAGGGCCAGTGGAGAAGGAGCTTGAAGGCCAAAATATCGTTGTGTATATATATTGTCTCCATATCCTCACAGTAGATGTAACTATTATACTCTTTTAATAGGGTCAAATGGGGTGATTTACAGGAGCATGGATAAGCGCAGCCCTCAAAATGGAGCCAGAACTGGATTGCCCTGAGGTTACAGGCTCAGTAATAAAATCTTAAATTTGGCAATGCCAGATCCCCCTGAAATTTTAGTCCCTGAAGCAAGGGTCTGCGTTGTCTCAGAATCTTTTAGTTCCAGATAAATTCAGATATTAATTTTATCAATCTTGGAAAAAAAAGACTGTGGAAGAAAGATGGGCAAACATTGAATGAATTAGAGTTGACACAGGCTGTGAGGGATAGGTTTAAAAGTCCAGCACCAGTGCTCAAAGTCACCTTAAAACTTAGCAACCAACGGGAGAATGTTAGCTTCAAATAAATCTTCAAACTTAGCCATGATCCAAATACTTAAGTATGCAAAACTATCTGAAGCAACCTTAAATGGAAAATTGTGCAGTGGGAAACTTCTTACTGCCAGATACAAGGGAAAAAATTCACTTTTGGTCAGATTGACTTTGTAGCCAGACACATGGCCAAAAGTAATAATGTGTCTAAAATAGCCGGAATTGAGACTGAGGGGTCTGAAATTTACACTAAAAGATCATTTGCATAAAGCCAGACCGTTTGCTTGACACCGAACCTGAACTTGAAGAAAATCAGTTGGTCCTCCCACTCTAGCTGCAAACAATCCGTCTCATACACAATCATTATAAAGTCATAACAAAGGCTGAAATGACTTGAAACTTGACAAGTATGACTGATGTGGAATAGTTGAATTAAGTATCATTATTAATATTATTATTATTAAGGAGTCCAAAAGTTTGTGAACGTTTTAAAGTTAAAGAGGTTGAAGCTCAGTGAGTTTGAAGGATTTTCTCATTGACTTTCATTATAGGGAAGTTTCAAAGAAAGTTGAATATCTTGAAGAGTTTGAAGAGGATTTGAAATTTGAAAAATGAAAAGAAATAAGGAAAGCTGTGGAACATTTTCATATTTGAATGAGTTTATAGCTGAAAGTATGAATTACATAACAGTTGAAAAACCTTGAAAAACTGAAAATGGGGACATTTTGATCATTCAATCCATCCACGAAAAAAACCTGGAAAACCTTGAATATCTTGAAAAGTATGAAGGTTATAAAAATTCTTAATACATCCCCACATGTCCTGTTGAGATGAATATTTCAATCATGACGTTTCTAATTTGAAACCTACTTGGCAACAAACCTGACTGTGATTCTTGTTCTCCTCCGTCAGACTCCTCTCTGTCTGTGCTCAGACTCTGCTGCCATCTAGTGGTCTTCTGTCCATACTGCGTCTCTACTGGTCTGATGCTGTCCATCTGCTGCAGCAGGAAGACAGGAAACAAACCAGCCGTTTCCATGGAGATGACCCAGCGGGTTGGAGGAAGTGATACATTGGATGGCGATTATGATGACATCACTGCTGATGTCACCACCGAGCACGCCTTCTGAGCTGTGAACAGAGTGACAGCAGCTGTCTTTAACATGGACTCTGATCAATAACATGATGGATCTGAAGATGAGAGTTTCTATCATCTGCTCTTATGGAGATGCTGCTGGAGAGCATTGTCTTACACGTTGCTCCAGAATCTTCCACAGGTGTGAAACCGGGTTGAGATCTGGTGACTGTAAAGGCCGCAGCATTTTATTCACATCATTTTCATCCTCACCAAAGCGTTCAGTGACCCTGCTGCACGAAGCATCTGCATCTGATGTTCCTCCTCTCTTTGATTCAGCTTCTTCCTTTCATTTGTCCCCGTCTGTTTGTTGTAGAAGCCCTGCTTTTTGGTAGATTTGCTAAAACCCCCTCAGCTCCATTGTAGAAAAGGAGGAGGAGTTCTGAGGGAAGTCAGATCTTTGAAGACCTTTTGGACCTTCTAGGTCTTTCAGAGCTCTTTTCCTTTTTGCTCAGACCTTTTGTCAGCTTTTACATTTCTGCAGCCTTTTCAGACTCAGGAATTCTGTTTGGTTTCTTTCCTCTTTTTATTCTCTTCTATCTCAAAGTGTTTCTGGACGTAGGCTTTGTATGTTTTTAAGCTTTGCTAAATAAAACCAGGTAGATCATTTTGATCTGTTGAAAGGTTGATGATTCTCTGGACCTGATCCTTTCATCCCCTCATCCAAGGCTTCCTTCACAACATTTCAGTAAGGCCCCTTGTTTTCTAACAAGTC